GGAAGGAATTCATCTTCCAGAAACCAGTTCCTGGCTGGCCTTCTAGCAGTCCTTGTCCCCAGGGCAGACATGCTTCAAAGGACATTAGGGTAAGGGTCAGCTCATGTCCCCAGCTCCCTGCAGGCCCAGTCCTGATGCTCAGGTGGTCTCTGCAGCAACTCCCCCGGCCCACACACATGCGCATGTGCACAGCGTTTCAGCCCCCCACCCCAGCTGGGGCTGGGTCTCCTGGGTTACCTGCCCCCTTACCTGGTTTCTCCAGCTGACTCCGGATGTAGCTAAGGGCAGAGAGCGCTGCCTGCTGTTTGGCCTCCTTCTTGCTGTTGGCAGTGCCCGCAGGGCAGGCCACCCCATCCAGTTCCACGCACACAGAGAAGGGGAAGCAGGGGTCTAGAGAAGGGGGCGTGAAGTGGTGCCCTGCACTTCATGCTCATCGTGGACCCTTTCTAGGAGGGCCAGGATGACATCTGCCCCACCCAAGCCACAGGGGCTCTCAGCTGTGCTTCCTCCTGACTGAGGATGGCCAGGATGACAAGGAGACAGACTGCCGACTCCTGCACCAGGCACAGCAGGTGCTTTGGTGTGCCAGGCCCATCCTCACGCAGAAAATCCTCACAAGCCCCTCTGAAATAGGTCCGTAAGATCCTATTTTACAAAGGGGCACACTAAGGACAGGCAGCGTACCAGGCAGTGCCGGGACCCAAATCCAGGGCCCTGCTGTTCTCAAGATGACGACCTTGAGTATACCGCACCACCTCTGCCTTGCCCCAAACACACGGCTCTATTTCTCGTCTACATTTGTTCAGATTGTTCAGAAAAAATTAACGTGAATATTTATATGTAAATAAATATATAGAAGGGAGAGAAAGACATACACAAAGCAAAGGTGGCAAATATTACATGGGGAATCTGGGTGAAGAGTTTATGGGAGTGCTTTTACACAATTCCTTGAAATTGTGTCAAAATAGAAAATAAAAATAAATGACTAAAAACTGCACCTACTCATGTAAACAGTGGGAAGGGTGCCTTCAGCAGAAGAGCGGCACGCTATAACCTTGTGGGTTAGCTCAGGCTCTGAAAAATGACTGCCTGGGGTCACACTGCCATGCAGGCAGCTGCAACCTCTCTGGCCTGTCTTCCCATCTGTAGAATGGTGGTAACAGAATTGTGCTTCCCTTAAGGAATAGTTGTGAGGACTGAATGAGTTAATGTGCCTGAAGCCCATCATCCAGAGCTCATGTGTGCTAGCTACGATCATCTGTAATGAATCTATTTTCTGATTTTCTGTATTCCTGATGCTCTGGCATTTGAGCCATCGATCCTGTGCAGACCGCCCCTCCCAGGTCTACCAAATTCCTGGAGTTAACGAATGACTACCCTGCAAGCATGCCTTTGACATAGAAACCAACCAATCTAGAGCTCACACCCTAACCATCAAACGCTCACTCAAGCCAATATTCCTCAAACCCTAAGTCACCCTGGGGCCAGGTATTAGACAACTAGGGGCCACCCCAAGGCCCCCTAAATTTACTCAATGCCTTGCCTTCCTCAATCCTAAGCTTACTCATTCTACCTACATTGCCTCAACTGTTCTTTTCCAAGAAAACCCCAATAAAGGCTCTGGGCCCTGCTCTCCCCTCCCTCTTCTGCCTCCTGACCCACCCTGGTCTCTTCCCATGTGGCCCTGAATAGCGAGCTGTGCCTCCGGTTTTAAGGGATCTGTGACTATTTACTTATTCCTTCATGACAGCCATTTCCATGTCTGCTGTCCTGCTACACCAGATGAAAGCAAATCCCAACACACATTAAATATACATTCTCTCTTTTTGAGCTGTTCATTCAGGGTTCTCTTAGGTAATTTTACAAAAGGTCCCAACAGCTTAAGGAATGGTTTTCTTGCTATTTCCTTAGAAACTAGGAATGCACTGGCTTAAGGTTGGGAACCTGAATTTGGGACCTGGTGTATCGCGGTGTGTGTCTGTGTCTGAGTCGGGAGTGTATGTGTGTGTGTGTGGGGGGGGAGTGCAGGCGGGATACACTGAGGAAGAGGAAAGGATATGGTAATGATTATATCTCTATGCCGTGTTCTCATTATCAAACTGTGTTTGATAATGTATTTAAGTCAGGGGCTGGCCCTCACTCAGGTATCTCCAATGCTTGACCGGCAACTGTTATTACATTGTAATTGGTCTTCAAAACAAAGCATGACAAAAGGGTCAGTAGCTTGGGGCATGTCCTTTAACCTCTGGGGGCTTCAGATGGGGATAATGTTCACCCGGCGGTGGCCAGCCACAGTTAGATGACCGCTGTAGCTAGAAGTCCTAACATCACAGCAGGGTCTGTCTGCCTCAGGGCCCCAGGCTCAGGCCTACTTCCTGGTCCCCAGTTTCATCTGGGTTAGCCGGGAACAGGCTGCCGTCCCGCTCCCAGGGCCTCACCTGCCGTCTTGTCCTCTCGGAAGATCAGGGAGATGCCAAGACTGGCCGCGTACTTGGTGAGCAAGGTCACCGCCTCCGCGGGAGGCGGGTCTTTGAGCTGTAGGCCCAGATGTCTGGCCGCCTTCGGGACGTCCCCGGCAGGCCCGACAGAGACCCTCGGGGACTGCCCCGTCTGTTCCCCCAAGTTTTCCTGTGCTTGAGCTGCCCCCGGGACCCTGACTCCGGCCCCCGCCGGGGGCCCACTGTCCCCCGCGGCAGCCGAGGCCAGAGGCTGCCCACCCCCCTCATTGTTCACCGTGCTGGAGGCAGGCGCTGGCTCCAAGGAGTTTGGGCCCTGGCTGGCAGAAGGGCGCCAGGGGCTGGGCCGGGGGCTGATCTGCAGTGAAGCCGCCAGGCGGTGTCTCCTGCGGCCGCTGTCAGCAGCGCCTGGGGCCGTACTGGCCGCTGAAGCCATGGCTGAACGTGAGGACCAGAGCGGACAGCGGATAGGGCCGATCCTAATCTTGCGCCGCCCGTGCCGTTTTACACGCGCCAGCTGGCTTCCGCGTGGGGAGCACGTGGTGCATCCTACAGCACGTTGCGAGCTCCGCTCTCCGCATCGCTGCTGGCAATGAGAGCCCGCGGAGGTGTGGCAAACCGTGCTCCCAACCAATGGGAAGGCCCGTCTCCTGGACGGCCGCAGCCGGGATGTGGACAGAGTGGACATCCCACTTCAGGTGCGGAGTTTCGGGCACCGGGATTAGAGGGGGATCTACCACCAGCCTCTTGGTCCTCAGGTGGTTCTGGGGAAGCAAGTCCAGCATGTCATCTGGCTTCCGCAACAAGGCTGCCCCCAAACCACAGCCATCCCAGCAGCCTACCCCTAGCCGCTTAGCTGAGCTGGGGAATTCTCATCCAATAAATGAAGGTGTTCTCAATTGAAACAATCCCACAGCATCTTTAGGATTTACGTTTAAAAACTGTAAACTGTACGCCTTCCTGAAGCCAACTCGAAATGCTCTCTAGCCAAAATTAAACATTTGGTGCTCTGCCCTTTTTTTCTTCAGGCGGGATTTTGAGTTGGCTCATAAAAATACCACAAGACAACCATTCTTTAAAATGAGGGACTAGGAATGAAGGAGAAATAACAAAAATAAGATGAAATTAGGGATAAGGGCAATTGACATATGGCCTGCTGTGCTGCAGCACATATTTGCTTGAAGGGGGCCACAAATTTAACCAAGTCTTATAGGAGCCAGTGATGGGAAAAACATGACCAATTACTCAGTTCACAGTCTGTAAGACCCATCCCATTGTTGCTGCAAATACTGCCTTTGGGTCTGACAATGCTAACCAGAATTGCTGCAGTGTGTAATCTGGGACATATACTGAGCAGGTGGTGGAACCAGGAATGTTTAACTTGGGAAGAGTAGATGTGGCAGGAAGAGTAGATTCAACCTCCCAAACGTTTCAAGGGTTGGCACCAGGAAGAACAATTCTGGTTTTCAGGTGTAGTTCAAGAACAAAATTAGGCCCAGTAGACAGAACACCAGCAGCACAGCAGGTGTTCAGAAGTGGAATGATGGCAGCCCATATCCACAAAGAGACGTGAACAGATTTGTGAAACCCAGAAAGGTCACCAACAGGAAATTGCATAAACAAATGGTGGTAGAGTCAAAGAGTGAACTATTACTCAGTAATAATAAAAGAAAGAAAGAAAGAAAGAAAGAAAGAAAGAAAGAAAGAAAGAAAGAAAGAAAGAGAGAAAGAAAGAAAGAAGCTACTGCACAACATAGGTAAATCTCATAGGCAATGTTGAATGTGATAAAAGACGAAGTGGAACTTTAAGCCCACATAATCAGTCCAGAGGGTCTATGGGAGGAGCTAGGGTTTATAGAAATTCTTGCCCTCTATGTAATTGCAAGAATTCTACACATGAGAACCCTACATGAAGAACTCTATGTTTATATTAAAGCTCCATGGTTCTAATTAACCCTTCCATTAACTTCCTTTTCCCTTCTATAAATACTCCTTCATCTTGGCATGCAGGCCAGAGTGTGCATGTCACTTGCCATGTCTGCATGCGCTGGGTTACAACCCTTCTTTTTCCCAAATCTATTTTTGGTGATGAAACACCTAGTCGATATTATTTTTCAGTCGACAAATGAAAGGAACCAGACTAAAAGGAGTACCTTCTGCATGATTGTATTTATATAAAGTTCTTGAACTGACAAAATTTCTTTTTTATTGTTAGTTTCAGGTGTACAGAACAATGCAATAGTTATCCTTTTCACCCTTCACACAGAAACAACCTCCCTCCCCCGTCTACTGCCCTCCCACCCCCGATATCATACTTATCTATTACAATTCCATTGACTCCATTCCCACACTCTACTCCACGTCCCGTGACTATATGTATAAATAATTATAGTTGACATACAATATTATTCAACATCAGCTTCAGAAATGCAGTGCGGTACTCAGACCTCTACACAGACTATGAAGTGGTCTCCCTAACAAGAGGTGAGTCCATCTTGCCCCTTAAAAATATTTACCACATTATTGATTATATTTCCCAGATTGTCTTTTCTACCACTGAGGTTGAACTGGCAAAATTAATTTATGGTGATAAGAGTCAGAATCGTGGTTATTTTTTGAAGGGGGTATTGACTGGGAAATGGCACCAGGGAATTTTCTGGAGCGATGGAAATGTTCTCTGTCTTGAGCTGGGTAGTGGTTGTGTAAGTTTATATGTATGTAAAAACTCAATGAGCTGTACACTGAAGATGTGTGCACTTTACTGCATGTTAAGAAATATATCAGTAACAAAAGGAAACATAACAGCTTGTTTAGAAGAAGGAAAGAAGGAAGAAAGGGAATTGACATCCCAGTGCAGAAGCTGGATGGGTGTCTCTTAAGCATGGCAAGTGAAATAATAGTTCCTCAAAGGTGTTCAGGTCCTGATCCCCATGGCCTGTGAATATGTTGCATCATATGGCAAGAGGGAACTAAGGTTGCAGATGGAATTAAGGTTTCTAATCAGCTGAATTTAAGATAGGGAAATTATCCTGGGTTATCTAGGTAGGTCCAATGTAATCACAAGCATCCTGAGGAAGAGAGACAGAGAGTCAGAATCAGAAGTGGTATCATGAGAAAGCCTCAACTGGCCATTGCTGGCTTTAAAGATGGAAGGGGACCATGAATCAAGGAATTCAGGCAGCTTTCAGAAGCTGAAAAAGGCAAAACAAAACAGAACAAAACAAAACATGATTCTCCCTTGGAGCCTTCAGAAAAGAACACAACCCTGCTAACACCTGGATTTTAGCCCAATGAGACCTCCATTTCAGGCTTCTGACCTCCAGAATTGTATGATATTGGGTTGTTTTAAGCCACTCAGTTTGTGGTAATTTGTTACAGCAGCAAAAAGAAACTAATATAGTCTTCAATTTTTTTGTATACATACCCATAAAATAATTTTTAAAAACTATCCCAAATATTTTAGTCACAAGTTTAAATAATTATAAAAAGAGCAATCTTTAACTTATTATATATTATAATAATCCTTCCAATATATTTTACCAAAACCATAGAGCTGTAGACCGAGCCTATTCCATTTATGAAAAATGCTCTCCAAATGATCTAACTGGCAAAGCCTACCCTCATAGTCAAACCACTCACCTAAATCAGACTTACTTTTTATCAGAAATAGTCTGACTTTATTTCTTCAACTTAAATAAATGTGTTGATGCTTTCTCAAAAGAACCGTCTCATTTCATTGATTCAAATGTTTATCAAGCATCTACTCTTCTAGTTGTTTGGGCTACATTGGTGACCAGCACAGACAGAAGAATTCCCACCCTCCTAGAGTGACTTCTAAATTCTATTTCTGAGATAGGTAGCTGGGAAGGCACTTAGCCTAACCAAGAAGTTAAAGTCTCAGTGAGATAGTGTCACAGCCAGCAATGTTTTCTTCTTCTTTCTGTTTTTAAAAGACTCTTTAGTGAAGTATAACATAGTATGTACAGAAAAGTGTACAAATCTTTTGATGAATTTTCACATACTGAACATACCCATGTAACCAGTATGCAGATGAACAAAATATTGTCAGCCCCCAAAATTCCCCTTCCTGCACCCTTCCATCATTACTTCTTACTGAACCTGCTTTTCATAGTCTTCTAGGGACTCTCTTGTAGGAATCCAGGTTTTGGAATCGCTCCCCCTTGTTCAGTGCCCATCTTGGGCACAAAGTGGGGGGAAAAGCGATTGTGAAAGGGGAGATTCCAAAAGAGAGCCATATCTGAATCCAAGCATCTCCCAGATAAAAACTATGTATTGTGATGGAAGCCAAGATTTTGGAAATTGATTCTTTAAATGGTTCTCCAAGTGTGGTGCCTGGACCAGAAACATGAGCATCACCTGGGAACTCATTAGAAATGCAAATTCTTGGATCCATCCCAGATCTATTAATACTAAACCAGAAACTCTCCGGTGGGGCCCAACAGGCTGTTTTAACAAGCCCTCTAGGGGATTCTGATGCACGATCAAGTTTGAGAGCTACTAGGTTAAGATAATTGCACAATACTTAAAGCTTGGCCCCTAAGCAAGCAGAATCATCATCATCTGGGAATTTAGCAACTCAAATTATCAGGCCCCACCCCAGCCTCCCTGAATCAGGAACTATGTTTTAACATGCCCTCCAGGTGATGTTGATGCACGCCATAATTTGAGAATCAATGCCTAAAGCTATGCTTGCCTGACCAGTGGGGAAACCTCATGCATCCCCAAGGTTACCTGTACACTTATATGTAAAGCCTGCTTCATAGGACATAAGGACAACCGTAAAGGTTCCTACTGACTAATACAGTGCCTAGCTCATAGTAGGTGCTCAGTGTTTGCTGAGTGAATAAATTTACTACTCAAAAGAACGCTGCAAAATAGGACGTTAAGCAGAGGTGGAATTCGAAATGTCCTCAACATTGCCTGCACCACTGGGACTTGAGATTTTATTTCTACTGCCCACAGCACCGCCTCCACGCCCATTTCCCCTCCTCCCGGAAGGTGGCGCTCTGGGGCGCCCGTGAGGCCAGGCTGGGAGGCGGGACTTCCTGCCTTCGAGGGAGCACTTCCGGCCAGGCCCGGAAGACCGTTAATTACGGTTGTGAGGTTGATTCATCGGGGTTTGCTGGAGGTCGGGTGTCGCTTTGGGCGCCCTCGTGTCACGAGGGACAGGCGAGCGTCACGTGGAGGTCCATTTCCCAGACGAGCACGCGAGGCCCGGGCTACGTAAGTGCGTGCGCCCTGCGGACGGCAGGAAGAGGGGTCCCGGGGCCGGGAAGAGAGCTCCGGTCTGCCCTCTGCGCGGGTCCACGGGCCCCAAGCTGTCTGGTACACAGCGTTTGATGAGAGTCCTTTGATCTTGAAAGTCCAGGGCCTGGAGGTGGAAGTGGGAAGAGGTGAATAGGGAGGACGTGGCCGAGTAGATAGATGTATGAGGGGAGGGACCGTCCGGATCCCTTCACCCATCTCCTGCGTGTCCGGCGTGGCAGTAACGCAGCCTTCGAGGCCTGGAGAGCCTCAGGTGAGGCTGGGAAGTTGAGGTTGCCTTGTCTAGGGGCTTTTCTGAGGTCGTGGGCTCCACCAACATCCTCAGACGGCCTGGGTTTGTTTGAGGCTGTTTGATTCCTTTTTCCTCATGTTACCGGCTCAGGGGTCCTTGCCCTTCTCCGGATAGACATCAAGGGAGTGGATGCATGGGTTTGGATTTATGGCAGGTCCGTCCCCCTGGGCCTCTCATAGTACCCTATGCTAGAGCAAACTGTGGCCCTGAACCATTGCCTGGCCTCTGCCCGTAGGCTGCAGGCACTGAAACGGGTTACACAGCGGGACAAGAAAAAGGAAAAAGAGAGTGGGCGAAAGTTTTGCGGAGAGAAAGGTTTATTAAAGCGAAAGTTGGATGCACCACAGAAGCACACTCCAAAAGAGAATGGATGTGGCTCATGGAGGTTTACAGGTCCAGCGGTCTTATAGGCGCTTGGGGTTGGAGGCCACTCCCTTCTTCTTTTCTTTCTCCTTCCCCAAAGTATGTTGAGATGGGCAGTGTACCTACGTGCTATTTTATGCATACCATGTCTCATTAGCATCTTAAATCTCCGCCCAGGAGAGTGTTTTTTATCATTATAATGAGGGAAAGTTAACTATTGAACAGCTCTTTTAACTAATGTGCACGCGCAACTTTAGACACTTTTCCTGAGCCTGCTTATCTCTCCTGTGATTATGGCTCTGTCGTTCATTGTTGCTTATTGGCCAGGAGATGTGGCTCAAGGTTGCTCTTCCCAGGTGCAGGTTCCGGCTATGTGATCCACAGACTACACTGTTGTTCATTCATTCCTGGATTTGTTCCTTCAGCTTGCGGGCACTGATTGTTACCATGTAGCAAATACCAATGATTGTTACCATGTAGCAAATACCAAGGCCCTGGGGATCAATAAAGCCCCTTTTCCATGGGTTGGCGGAACTGGGAGAGGCTTCCTGACTGGAAACCTGAAGGACGAGTTGGATTTTGTGGGTGGGTAGGAAGGACACTGGCAATCCTTTTAAGCAGAGAGATAGTGTGCAGAGGCCCTGTGGTGAAAAGCCTGGTGAGGAAGCGCCTAGAGGAGGTGAGTGTGATTGGAGCCCAGGCACAAGGGAGAAGCTGGAGACGTACGTGTGCGCGTGCGCGCTGATTTATCAGGGATGCAGCCGCTTCAGAGGCTTGGGTGCTTCTTCGCCACAATCGGTACAGTCAGTCCATGGAAGCCAGTGTTTTTCACAAGGACTCCCTGAGCAGCTCCTTGATTCCGGCCACTGCCCTCTCTGGTCATGGTAAAGAGAACGACAGCAGCAGCCAGGCACCAGTAACCCAGGAATGAAAGAGATACAGCCCCTGCCCTCGGAGAACTTGCAGTTTAGCAGAAGAGAGAAGACTATACATAGAAGCCACAATCAGAATAAGGCTGACTTGCTGGAGAAACATTTATTCATGTGACAAGTATTGACTGGTATTTGCTTGTGATGGGCACTTTGCATGGTCCTGAGGGTACATGGATGTACAGAGCTTACAGAATAAACTGATCAAATGCAGCAGCAGTTCCAAGGGAAAAGATTTGTGCATACCGAGACCCTAATGCTGGTGTTTGCTTTGGGATGCACAGGAGAGTGGTGGTGCAGAACTTGGACTGTATTGGATGGGGAAGCTCTTGGCCTTGGGCAAGTGGCTCCTTCCTGAGCCTCAATTTCCTAAACCCCAAAATAGGGAGAATAGAAGACAAAAACATGTAGTACTGTGTCTGGCAGATGTTTACACTCAGTAAGTGAGCACCGCTACTATGTTTGCTGTTAATAAAAAAAGACGGATGGTGTGGCTACTTATACTTCTAGAGCACTTTGTATGTAGCAAAGCCCTTTCACTAAATTTATTTTTATTCAACACATAGTGCATTTTCTGGAAGGTACTATACTTGACAGAGTGGTATGACAGAGAACTAAGACTCAGTCCCTGGCTTTGGGGAACCTGAGTTAGTCTTGGGAGTGTAGCCTGGAGTGTAGGGCATGTAGCTTACAAATATGTGATTATAATATCTAAGAGCTATGATGGAAGCTGACCCCTTGCCACCTGTCTTTATCCCCTCCCACTCTCCTCGTTCATTCTATGGCCTCCTAGTTGTTTCTCAAACGCTTCCTGCCCTAGGACTTTTGTACTTGCTGTTCACATTCGGCCAGGAACCCTCTTCCCAGTTGTCTGTGTGTGGTTCCCTTCCTCATTAGGTTCAGGCCATGCCAAAAGCCACCTTCTCAACGAGGCTTTCCCTGGCTGCCATTGCAAAAACCATACCCTCAGCCTATCTCCATCCTCTCCCTCATGGTTGGTTGGTTGGTTTTGATATAGCACTTACTACTGTCTCGCAATAGACTGCATACTCATTTTTTCTTTATTATCTGCTCCTTCAAAGAAAGTCTACTCCTCTGAGGGCACTTTTCACTCTGGAGGCCATTGGTCAAATTCAGGCCTTTGAGGAGGCCACTGTGACATATTCTTTTTTTTTTTTTAAAGATTTTTATTGGGGAATTGGGGGGATGGGAACAGCGCTGGGGAATTGGGGGAAGGGGAACAGACAAGTTGCTGTCGTTTTGTTCTTCGGTCTAGTTGTGGAGGGCGTTGCTTCACTGGCCCAAGTTGGCACCATCATTGCGCTCTTCCCGGGCGAGGCAGATCAGTCGCCGACTTCTGGACGGCTGCTCACTGCGGCTGCTGGCCACTCACGCTGGCTGCTGGCTACACACAGTAGCCCATGGCAACCCACTGCCACAGGGGCTGCAGCCTACGCTGTCGCCGGCGACTCATGGCAGCCCAGCTCCAGGTTGAGCTGTTGTTCAGCATCTTAGCTGTAGAGGGCAGTGTCACTGGCCCTCATCTGTGGGATCCGAACCGGGGCCCTCTGGCGTCCCAAGCCAGCTCTTAACCATCGTGCCCTCGGCCGGCCCTGTGACATGGTTCTTACTTTCCAGGATGGACTTCCCCAGCTCCCTTCGCCCCACATTGTTTATGACTGGCCCACTTGGTCTGAGCGATGTCCCTGACATGTCCTTCATGTGCAGCTGGAGAGATGCACTGACCCTGCCAGAGTCCCTGCAGAATTCCGAGGTAAGGAGGGCAGGGAGAGCCCTGGCAGCTCGGGTGGGTGCCTTCACTCGGCCCCATTTTCTAGCATTCACATCAGTTGGCAGGAGTACAGCGTGGTGTGTCTGCTAAGACACATTTCAAGCCAGAATGCCCTCCTTTGGGGTCCGTGGGACAGCCTACCATCCACAGAGTGTTTAGGGAGCTGAGTAACGAGTTGGCTTGCTCTTTCCTACCTACCTCTCTCTCCCCCAGCCTTTGTTCAACAGCTACTCCTTGAACAGCTCGTACAGCATGCTAGATACCTCCCTAGACCCTGGGAATCCAGCAAGAATGGGTTGGGTACAGTCCACCCTGTGGAACTTAGAGTTAGGGTGAGTGAGAATAGACAAGTAGACAGACCAAAGGACAAAATCAGTACAAATGTGATAATAGCTTTGAGCAGAAACCAAAAGCATTCTGAAACAGCACAGTGGGGGTGAGGTGGGAGGTGAGGGGAGGGGAGATCTCCAGATCTCCTGGGACAGGAAGGAAGCTGGAAGCCTAAGCCTAAAGCTGCTGCTTGGAGACAGGCTGGCTAAGGATTAGCCAGGCAAAGGCAGGTGGGTGAGAAAATTAAAAGAGACAGTGGTGGGGGCGGGGCTGGGAGAGGAACCAGGTGGACTGTGAGGCTTCCTTGATAAGGAAGGGCTTAAGTCAAGTTGCCCCCCTCTGGAAGCCTGGCCTGCTGGCTCTTCCGTCTTCTCTTGTTTGAGCTTAGCCATCCACAGCCCTGCAGTGGGGAGTGTAGTGGCCTGTGGGTGCCCCGAATAAGTGACCAAAGGGTGTCCTGAGTGCAAATGAGAATCAGGTGGGATTTGGGTCAGCCAGTAATGGTGCGGGGGGCTCCTTCGAGAGCCAGTGCAGCCTGGAGGTCGAAAGCACACACTGGGATCAGACTGCCTGGGTTCAAACCCAGCCCTTCTCTTTACTGGGTGTCACCTGGGGCAAGTGACAGCCTCTCTCTGCCCCCATTTCTTCATCAGTAAATTGACGATGACTGTTGTACCAACTTGGCAGGCTCCTTGTGAGGATGGAATGATTTAGTGAAAGACAAGTGCTGGCGATAGCACCTGTCCCAGAAGCACACTCACTGTTGCATTGTTGTGTTTCTACAGAATGGGGCGCTGCACTTGGCAAAGGGCCTGCTCTGGGAGCCAGACACCCCTGGTCCCCTTCCCGTGCTGCCACCTGGTCCTGGTAAGGGTCTTGATCCTCAGGCCCCCTTCTAACCTGCTGCCCCGTCGCTTCTCTCCCCGAATCCACCCATCCTGAGACTTTCCCTCCCCCTACACTCCACCCCCAGACCCCTTGGGTACCTCCAGTCCCCTGGGATACATGGCCCCACTTCTGAGCCCTTCCCAGTCCTCGGGACAGACCCTTTCCCCAACCTCACTCTTCCCTCAGATCCCTGGGACCCCGGCCTGACTGCTCAGGACCTGCTTTTCCGGGGAGGTCCCAAGTTCCTGCGGCAGCCCCGACCTGTGCTGGATGTTACTGAACAGGTGAGTGGCCCCACGATGGAGTGGACAGTGCTGTGTGGCTGGGGCCTTGCTTAGTGACCTAGCCTCCTCTCCCGCAGCTCAGCTGGTTCCTGTGGGACCATGGGGACATAGCCTTTGCACCCCTGGGGAAGCTGATGCTGGAGAATTTCAAGCTGGAGGGAGCGAGAGTGAGTAACCCTGGCCGGCCAGAGCGGGGCTGCCACTTCATGTCGGGATGAACCCTAGGGTGTGCGAGCTTGACAAGGCCTTTCCACGCAGAGCCGCTCCAAGAAGAAGACAGTGGTCAGTGTGAAGAGGCTACTCCAGGACCTCGGTGGACACCAGCCCTGGGGGCAAGTGTCTAGTGAGAAAGGATGGGGTGGGCAGGCCTAGCTGGTGGTGGTGGGGATGTGGACGTTGCTTGGACACGGATCCAGGTTTCCATCACAGTGCTCTCTACCTCATGCAGTCATGAGCCATATTTACTCATGTGAAACACCCAACTCCACTAGCCTAAGGGGAAAAGGGAATTTAAATTCATGGGCTGCAGGCAAGGCTGTATCCAGGTTTTCAAATGTTTAGAATAGGGCTCTGTTTTTCTTCAGTTTCTCACCCACTTGCCTCTGCCTGGCTTGATTCCTAGATGGTTTCCAAGCGCAGCAAGATGGGTTGTGATTCCAGGAACGAGCCAGTGTCTTTTCCTGGGGCACTAGCCGAAGTCCTGGGAAGGGTGTCATTAGCTTGGCTTGGGTGTCGTGCCCAGCTGTGAGCCAGTCATGTGGCCAGGGGTGATGGAATACTCTGAGTGGCCGGGTCTGGGTCATGTGACTAACCCCCAGGGCATGGGAATAGGGTGGGGTGGTTTCCAAAAGGAAGAAATTCTGGGTAGATTAAAGATGTGTGTACTGCACCTGGCCATCCTGGGACTGGTACCCAGTCCTCCTCACTGTCACTGTCACTGCCACAGCCTGACCCTCCTGCCATCCTCTTGTCCCCAGGTGTCCCTGGGCTTACCTCAGCAGCCGACAGCGCCGGTTCTCCATCCTCGGGGGCCCGATCCTGGGCAAGTCAGTGGCAAACCTCCTGGGAGAGCTGCTGCACGAGGAGCTGGCAATGCGGTGGCAGCAGCTGCTCCTGGATGATGCCTTTACCGGAGGTGCATTGGCCTGGCTGCCTGGAAGGATGCCCCGGGTTGGGCAGCTGGTCTACCCTGCAGGAGGCACCCTGGACAGACTATGTATCCTTTCTCACTTGGCAGGATTCCAGCTGGCGCCCTCTGGTGGACGAAGTGCTCTTGGCATGGTCCCGGGGAAGGGCAGGAATTAGGGGGGAAAGAGGGGCTTGCAGTGACTATGCACTTATCCTTAGCAAGAGGCTCAGATTTCCAAGAAGTCCGTCTAACCCCAGGCGGTGACCCTCGGCTCCTTGGGGACCCTGGCCACATCCAGCTCCGGGGACCTGTCCGGCAGGTGGTGACCCGCACCGTGCAGGGAGAATGTAAGGCCCTTAGACACCTGCTTCCCTTGCTGACTGACCTGCTGCCTGACCCTGACCCGCTCCATCTCCTCATCAGCTCTGCTGGCTGTCCGCTCTGACTACCACTGTGCCCTGTGGAAGGTCAGCAAGCAGGGGCAGCCAGCCCCTCTCCAAGTGCTGCAGGTCGAGAAGGGGGCCACAGGGATCAACCTCAGGTGAGGGGGCTGAACTGGGCTGGTCGGCAAGGGGTAGGCATGGGAGAAGGGAGCGGCCCAACATTAATCACACTTGTGCCCTGTAGCCCTCACCTACCCGGGGAGCTGGCCATCTGCAGCCGTTCGGGAGCCATCTGTCTATGGACGCCCCAGGATGGGTAATGCTCCTTTCCCCCAAAACACTCCATCCTCACAAATGGCTCCCCTCGAACTATGGCCTGCACTTCCCACCCCACACCTCCCGTCTCTCCAAGGCTTCGGCAAATCTACAAGGACCCTGAGACCCTTGTGTTCCGGGACCCCTCTCCCTGGCGCTGGGCAGACTTCACAGCCCACCCTCGGGTGCTGACTGTGGGTGACCGCACCGGAGTGAAAATTATTGACACTCAGGTGAGGGAGTGGGGACTGTCACAGGCCCAGCATTGGGACAGAGCAGATACCCAGGGTGGGGGCTGGGGTGGGGG